TCTCAAACCTCACCCCTCTGTCAGTCTCTACACTGGCTCCCATTTAGGATTCGGTCCAAAGTTCTCATGCGTACTCACAAAGCTCTTCATAACCATGCTCCTACTTACATCTCTTCACTCATTAGCAAGTATGTTCCAGCACGGCCTCTTCACTTGTCCAACGACCTGTTACTGTCGAATTCTCACATCAACACCTCTGACTCTCACCTGCAGGACTTCTCCAGGGTTGTCTCCTCATTATGGAATGCCCTCTTGCGAGACATCCATCTCTCCCAGATTCTGCAGTCCTTCAAAAATCCCACAAACATACTTTTGAGAAGATGTCCCCATAGCATGTAGATAATTTGATTCCATCACTTCTCTTTGTATACTTGCTCTCTTCATCTACTGTTCCTGTATCTCATACTTATTTTGATGGAATTAAATGTTTGTCTTGTTCACCTACTGTACTCTGGATTATATTGACAATACAAAGCAAGTGAACAATAATTTGCGAATGTTCATCCTGATGGATTTTCTTAATTTTTATTAAAACCAGTGCTTTTCTAATATTTAGAACACTGGTTCTAATTTAGACACTGAATGCTGCAGGTTTACTCTGGCTGACCAAATTTCAACAGTTTTTGGGCTTCAGTAAAAGCGAGAATTGCTACTGTAGTCGAAATTCAGTCGTTTGATGAGGTAGATGCTCAGATTCATCATCTACAGCGTTATTTACTAAACACTGGATTTTGAATTGCCCCGTAGATGATAAATATGTGCATCTGCAATACCAGATCCTAGTGTTGGCTCTTTGTGGACTTCTGGTACCTAATAGAAGAATGGCATCCGAACCAGTAACTTTGTATTATTCATGCTATTCATGCTATTTGATACCTTCATTAATACCTTCTGGGGGAAAATAAAAACATCTCCATATTTACTATGATCCATGCATTGTAAACTAATTATGAACCTTTTCGGGACCAAGTATACATTGTTATTTTCACAATTATCCTGATCTGGAAGGAATAAAGGTGTTCCTTTAATCATTTAAAATGTAAGCTTATTTTAGCGACACCCATACTACCCCTTGTTTAGGTAAGTAAATCTTGTCTTGAATTTACTTGTATGTCTTGTCTGTTCTTGGTACAGCAGGGTGGAATATACTTGCACTTTATAAATAATAATTAGCACTTTATAATTGAATCTTTAGCGCACAACATTTTCTTAACCCAACACACTTTATTTTATTTATTGCTCCATATTGTGTTGTGATTGCAGTATAGATAAGATCCAATTTCACATGCAAAGAATTGATTGATAGGCAGGAGAGATACCTATTTTTAAAGCATTTTTCTTCCAATCTACATTTTTTTTCTCCAAATCTACAATGATATGCTCCTTAAAAAGATCATAGGTTTAAAATATTATGACCCTTTAAGAGCTGTTAATAATAAAATATATTATATGACCCATTGTCTACATGTATAATTGAATGAGTGGAACCTTTCCTAACACTTGCAGACACATTTAAATAGCACCAGTTTATGAAGGATGCTTTGATGTCATGAATTTAGACGTATGAAGCATCATTTGAGGGATACTTGTTTTATTATTTACTAAGACAATGTCATTCATTGATGATTTATTTTCCTTCTTCACACTAATTGAACTTCCTATTCTACCTAGATTGGTGGACATATTTTGACCTATGGAGAAGGATGATGATATTTAAGATAATTCTTGAAATGCAGCTTCCATTAACTGCCTGGTGAGAAACTGAATGTGCAATCATGTTTGTGGTAATACACAAATGTCATGTGATATCAATGTTTACACTGATCACAAACTGTAACATGTAAATCTCCATTCTCATTAATTTTTCATTTCCATAATACAATATGAAATGTAAAGATCAGAGATTGGCTACTGGAGCAGCATTATGTTGCCAAAGTAGCTTCAGAGTTTTCAACCAGGGAACTAGAAAAGCATTCATTCAGAGAAGGTGGAGAGTATTCTGTCAGAGGATCTATAGAACATTCTGTCAGAGGAGGTAGTTAAAGACGGTAAAGTGTAAGACAGGTTGTGAGGATCATTCTGTCATGGACTCCAGAGAGAGAAAACATTTCAGAAGAGTAGCCTGAAAGAATATTCTGCTAGAGCAGCTATGGAAATGAATTCTAGTAGAAGAGTCAATGAGAGAGTATATTACCTGAGAAAAAGATAGACATATTGTGACAGAACCATCTGTCTGCTGGATTTTTGCCCGTTCGTCTGTTTGTCCCCGTTCGTATGAATGGCTGGTTTCTATAGCCCAGCCATTCGAATGACTCTTTTTCCCGAACAAAACCGCCGAACGAACGGCCACCCAAGTGAGGAGTGTGCTGCAGGTTAACGAAGTGATCACCATTATAACGTTGTGGTTAACCGCAGACACTTCTCAATTAAACCGAACTCAGGGTGGTCGTCGTTCGTATGTCGACCACGAGGCAGCGGCCATTTTAAATCATGCGAACGCTCAGCGGTGTTTGGCTCTATTTCTATGGAACGGAAAACGGACACTTTTTCTGTCGAACACCGCTGAAACAAGGGAACGCCTGGCTGCCTCCACGAAAGCATGCGAACATCGGCCGTTCGGGAGATTGAGAACACACAAAAGTCTTAACCCAGATAGCCCACCCATGGAGTCATTCGTGTACCGAAGGACTGTAAGAACTTTGACTCCATGGCGATTGAACTATGTGTGTGGGATCTGAGCGCTATTCGCCAATAATATGCACTCAGACCCAGGCTATCTGGGGACATGTAATACGAATGGGAAATGTTCAGTTTTCATGTAGTTATGCATTTTTGTGTCTTTTATTATTTCATGTTTAAGATGGCGACTGTCCTTGTCCTGGAGTTAATTGAGTTACTTGGTAATTAACTCCAGGACAGAGGGGAGGGAATCAGAATGCACTGTGGGTAAAATATGTGACTGTGTGTCAGAAATGTCCTTCTATCTGTCTGTACTTTAAGTCTTCCATTTGGTCCCCTAGGGGAGTGTCCACCAGGTGGGAGACCTGCATAAATACGGGCAGGTAGCCCACAGTAAACCCAGATCTTATTTGACCCTCAATGCGGAGCTTCTGTCTCGTTATTGGGGGGATTTCTTCTTCACGTTTAGAGACTGCTGGATGGAACGAAAGCCGCTTTGGGGATATTATTGTTCGACGGTTCCTAGCAGTTCGTATATTGCCGTTCGGGAGTTTGGAGCCGTTCGTGGATTTCGATCGGGAGATTGCCGCTTCCCCTGCATTTGGTTCGTGGGTTACAGAGTAAGCGAACAGAGACTGTACTGCAGCCGGGGAAGGTTTACTAAACGGCGGTTTGGCTTAAAGACACGGGAGGTGTCTTAACACATATATTTTTTAGGAGGAAGATTCTGCTATGAGAGCTAGAGTGACACATTTTATCAGAGGGACCAGAGAACCAATGATGTCACAAGAGCTAAAGGTAGAAAGTACGAGACCATTCTATCAGAAGAACAAGAGTGAAAACATTCCATTGGATGAACTGAAGGTAAAGAGAAAACCAGTCAGATGGATTACATTGGAGATCATTCTGTCAGATGTCATAGGGACCAAAATCGGAGCATTTAGGCGGTGGTGTCAAACTGCAATGCCTTAGATGATGTTCTTGGAGCAAAGCTTCCATATTCCTGTACAAGCTAACGTCTTACAGAGAGTTATTGGAGTTGTAGCAAACCAATGTGTGGAGGTAAGGTAGGGACAGTTTGACACCATTGCTTACAGAATGCTGGCATAGAGGTCCTTACAGAACCCCATGTTCTGTATGTCCAACTTATCTTGCTACAGTAACTTTTTGCCGACCCATTGTACAGCAGTGCCCAATATAAACAATAGAGATAATAATAGCAAACTACAAATATAGTGGGTGCAGTGTGTGTGTATCTCTCTATCCATCTGTGCTCCCACATATTGCTGAGCATGGCAACCTCAGAATGTATGACTGTGTGTGTAACAAAAACACAAAAAGCACCTAGATACAAAACGCATCTTAATATATAATTTGATCGATATGTTGATTTCACTACTTTCACTTTGTATAAGGTAATATTTACCCAAAGGGCAAAATGTTTGTATGTGTCTCAGACCAGCACAACTGACAATCAAAGGACAGTCAAGATTGGTTATATTTTATTTATACTCTGAAATGGATGGCAAATAGAGAAGAATCATCATCTTTATACATTTATCTTAATTACAAAAGAGATAAAAGAACAATATTAAACTTTACAACAACTGACCGAGAAATTAAAATGTGTTAAGTCTTGCAAACTTTAAAATTCATAAAATATGTTTACAAAGTTCTATACTAGAAACAGACAGAAGAAAATGATACAGTCAGACATGAAGACAAATGTATATGGATAGACACAAAGAGATGTGTGTGTTATAAGTATAACATTTGTCCTGGAGGCACGTACAAACAAATGGTGTTTTGTTGGGGCACAAAGCTCACAGTTCTCAATGTGGACATTTCTATTTGGGCAGAGCATGTGATTTATGGGTTTGACAGATGGATGCTGCTGGAGTTGTGAAGTATGACATTGTATAATCCTGCAATCCCCTTCAATATGACCTGCGTATTATAACAGAGTATTGACAAAGTTCTGTGCATAGCTAAGAGACACAAACTCATTTTCTTGTGAATCTATTGCCACCGGTGAAGTTACAAGAAAATACATTGAGTATGTGTTATAAATTTGCCATAAAATCTGTCTTATTCCACTTGTAAACACCTCCAGGAATGTCAGAGATGCTTATCATCATTTGGCAGCTTGGATGGCCCTATTTATACCCACATGGGAATGGGAGAAAAGTGTTGAACAGATATTATCTAGATAGACACATACAAGTAGAGAGACTTTCTACAGAGAATTGGAGATTGGAAAAGTAGATAGATTATCTAGACAGATTGTGAGGGAAGGAGACAGAGAATCAGAGATAAGCAGCACAGAGATTATCAAGAGTGATAGAGAAGAAATCATTGCTAGATTAAGAATGGGAGATATGTAGATATATATATATATATATATATATATATATATATATATATATATATATATATATATATATATATGTTATTAGATAATCAGTTGTGTAGCTATGTAGGTGGATATAAAGAGAGAGAAAGAGAAGAAAGTAGGAGAGAGCGTTGGAGGAAGATGCAGGTAAAGATATTGTCTTTAGATAATAGGATATGGGTGATGTTATCTAGATAGAGATAAGAAAGTGAGACAGAAACATAGAAAGAGGAGCAGAGATAAAGCACAAAGAATGGGGAGGAGGAACATTTGTTAGAATGAGATCAAATGAGGCAATGGTGGATATGTTGATAGATATAGATATCTCTATTTATATAAATAGGTAGCTATATATAACAATATATATATTTGTAAGTGGGTAGAAATGTAGATGAATACAGGAGAAAAATGGAGATGGATATATTTAGAGTGGGAGAAACATATAAGTAGGATTTTGTCTACAGCTAATAGGAAGTTAGAGAGGAAAGAATATTATCAATATAGAGTGAGAAAAGCAGATGAAGGAGAAACAGACACAGAGACAGAGGAAGGAGAAACAGAGACAGAGGAAGGAGAAACAGACCCAAAGGCAGAGGAAGGAGAAACAGAAACAGAGACAGAGGAAGGAGAAACAGACAAAGAGACAGAGGAAGGAGAAACAGAAGCAGAGCCAGGGGAAGGAGAAACAGAGACAGAGAAAGGAAAAACAGAAGCAAAAACAGAGGAACGAGAAACAGAAGCAGAGACAGAGGAAGGAGAAACAGAGAAAGAGACAGAGGAAGGAGAAACAGAAGCAGAGACAGGGGAAGGAGAAACAGAGACAAAAGGAAGGAGAAACCAAAACAGAGACAGAGAAAGGAGAAGCTGAAGCAGAAACAGAGATAGATGAAGGATAAACAGAAGCAGAGACAGAGGAAGGAGAAACAGAAACTGAAACAGAGGAAGGAGAAACAGAAGCAGAGACAGAGAAAAAGAAGCAGAGACAAAGGAAGAAAAAACAGAAGCAGAGGAAGGAGAGACAGAGACAGGGGAAGGAGAAAGAGAGACAGAGGAAGGAGAAACAGAGACAGAGGAAGGAACAACAGAAGCAGAAACAGAGGAAGGAGAAACAGAAACAGAGACAGAGGAAGGAGAAGGAGAAACAGAGACAGAGGAAGGAAAAACAGAAGCCGAGACAGAGGAAGGAGAAACAAACAGAGAGACAGAGGAAGGAGAAACAGAAGCAGAGACAGATAGAGATGTTATAGATATGTTATTAGATAATCAGTTGTGTAGCTATGTAGGTGGATATAAAGAGAGAGAAAGAGAAGAAAGTAGGGGGAGAAGAGAGAGAGCGTTGGAAGAAGATGCAGGTAAAGATATTGTCTTTAGATAATGGGATATGGGTGATGTTATCTAGATAGAGATAAGAAAGTGAGACAGAAACATTGAAAGAGGAGCAGAGATAAAGCACAAAGAATGGGGAGGAGGAACATTTGTTAGAATGAGATCAAATGAGGCAATGGTGGATATGTTGATAGATATTGATATCTCTATTTATATAAATAGGTAGCTATATATAACAAAATATATATTTGTAAGTGGGTAGAAATGTAGAGGAATAGAGAAGAAAAATGCAGATGAATATATTTAGAGTGGGAGAAACATATAGGTAGGATTTTTTCTACAACTAATAGGAAGCTAGAGAGGAAAGAATATTATCTATATAGAGTGAGAAAAGCAGATGAAGAAGAAACAGACCCAAAGGCAGAGGAAGGAGAAACAGAAACAGAGTCTGAGGAAGGAGAAACAGACAAAGAGACAGAGGAAGGAGAAACAGAAGCAGAGATAGAGGAAGGAGAAACAGACAAAGAGACAGATGAAGGAGAAACAGAAGCAGAGACAGGGGAAGGAGAAACAGAGACAGATGAAGTAGAAACCAAAACAGAGACAGAGGAAGGAGAAGCTGAAGCAGAAACAGAGACAGATGAAGGATAAACAGAAGCAGAGACAGAGAAAGGAGAAAGAGAAACTGAGACAGAGGAAGGAGAAACAGAAGCAGAGACAGAGAAAA